CATTCAACAAATATTTGAGCCTCTACTATATACTAAGCACAATCCCTTTAGTTCCTTAAACTCCAGAATTAGCTTTCTGTTACTAAAATATATTAAACACTTCAATACTCCAACTACAACTTATTTCAATTAGAAAGATATTATTACTGTTTGCAGCCTCAGTTTTTAAATTTATCGTCTACATGAAGTTAAACCATCCTGTTTCAAAATACTATGCAGAACACCTCTAACACTTTTCCTTATAGTACGACTCCTGATACATTAAAAATTGATTAGAAGATAAAGTTTATCCATAAATTTTTGAAGTTTGAAGGTAATCCTAAAATGAAAATGACTGCCTTCAGAAATGAAGCTCTATGTCAAAAATCAATTCACTTTTGTAGATGTCAAAGCAAAATACACCAGTATTAATCACCAATAGCAGAAATCACTTCCTTTTTTTTTGACAATAAAGTTTTATTTCTTTGTTTTCAGTTTTTATTTCTCTTTTTTTTTAATCAAGGAATTCAGGATCTAGGGTAAATTAACTATGATCAAACCAAACACACCCCAGCAATAATTCACTTGATATTCTGGGAACTGAATTTATCTCTATTTTTGGCATTACTACAGGTGGTGGCAATATTGCCTTACTTTTGGCTCGTTAGTCTTACCATCTCACTTACCATCTGACATATCCTTAAGGACCAGATTCTCCAACTCACTCCACTCAGTGTTCAGACGTTTCATTAACTTGAATGCATTTACAGGGTGCCCAACAAATCCTTCTGGATCTTTTGTTGCTGTGCTGGTTAGCCGATCTAACTTCTCTGCCCATCTATACATGTAAGACATATAAATGGAATATAAATACACTTAATAAAGAAAAACATAATTTAGTAAAACATTTTTTAAAAGACTAGATTAGAGAGGCGGCCGGGTAGCTCAGTTGGTTAGAACGTGAGCTCTGAGCAACAGGGTTGCCGGTTCGATTCTCACATGGGCCAGTGAGCTGCACCCCCTGCAACTAGATTGAAGACAATGACTTAAGGTGAGCTGCCGCTGAGCTGCCAGTGGGTGGCTGTATGGCTCAGTTGGTTAGAGCGCGTGCTCTTAACAAGGTTGTCAGTTTGACTCCTGCCCCTGCAGCTAGATTGAAAACGGTGACTGGACTTGGAGCTGAGCTGTGCCCTCCACAACTAAGATTGAAGGACAACTTGACTTGGATGATGGGGTCCTGGAAAAAACACACTGTTCCCCAATAAAGTTGAAACAATAAAAATTTAAAATTAAAAAAAAAAGACTTGATTAGAGGTTTTTGAGTTAAAACTATATCTAAAAATTCTGTTTAAAAGTAAAATTATAAAGGTTTTTTAAAAAGCAAATTCTCTTACGGATAAAATCTAGCTTGGCAGAATCAAAATATATAACTACAAGACTTTTTGTTTCAGTTTAGTTTCTCCCAAATGGTTACAGTAAATGGAGCCTATGTCAGTAAAAGTTGTAATTGGAACTCTCCAGTGTCTAAAATTTCATTTCCCCATAGGTCCTTGAAGCCAAATAACTGATTACAAAGTAGGAATTAGCCTAATACAAATTCAGTTACATGTTAATTTAAATCAAACTTACACCAAAATTTTACATTCAGTACCTAGAAACTATATTGTAAAACAAACAATCTGGTATGGTGTCAGATGAGTACTAGGATTTAACAGGGGGATCACTTCATAAGTTATATAAATTTCAAACCACTATGCTGTATAATTGAAAATAATATAATACTGAATATCCACTACAATTGAAAAAGAAAAGGATCTGAGGGCACACTCAAAAAAAAAATTTATGCTCACAAGTGCAAGACAACTGGACAAATTAAATAATGAGAGCTCAAATGTTACACTAGATTTAATTTTCAATTTTATAATTTCCTTTTGAAATATCTTGACTTGAGAAAAGACTTGACAGAGCTCCTGGTTTTAATCAGACAAATTTATATTCTGCACCAGGATGAAAAGAAGTTGATTTGTGAGGAGGCCTAAAAATTTTGCATTTATATTTGGTCTAAAGAATCATAAATAGACACCATTTTTTTTTTTAAGATTTTTATTGGGGAATTAGGGGTTGGGCAGCACTGGGGAATTGGGGGAAGGGGAACAGACAGGTTGCTGTCGTTTTGTTCTTCAGTCTAGTTGTAGAGGATGTTGCTTCCCTGGCCCAAGTTGGCACCATCATTGTGCTCTTCCGGGCGAAGCAGATCAGTCGCCGGCTTCTAGACGGCCGCTCACAGTGGCTGCTGGAGGCTCATGCTGGCTGCTGGCTACACACGGTAGCCCATGGCAACCCACTGCAGCAGTGGCTGCAGCCTACGCTGTCGCCGGCAACTCCAGGTTGAGCTGTTGTTCGGCATCTTAGCTGTAGAGGGCAGTGTCACTGGCCCTCATATGTGGGATCCGAACCGGGGCCCTCTGGCGTCCCAAGCCAGCTCTTAANCATCTTAGCTGTAGAGGGCACAGCATCACTGGCCCTCATGTGGGATCTGAACCAGGGCCCTGCTGCTCAGAGCTGGCGTCCCAAGCTAACTCCTAACCAACGTGCCACTCGGCCTGCCCTGGGAATCAGATTCTTAAAAGGAGAAAATGAAAGAGAAGTGATGCAGCATTTGAAAGAGAAGGCTATTTCCAAAATAGAGAACATGAGAAGAAGAAATAAATGGGCACGATGAAGAAAATGAGATAAGGAAAGTAATGTTGGCAGGAAAAGACTATAAAAAGCTTTCATATAAAGGGCAAATAGAATTTGATAAGAAAGAATAAGTTATAAGTTCCTTTGGATCAAAGGAAGAGCATGGACGATTGGCATTAGCATGCCAAATTGAACGTGGTAACCCAAATTTAAAGTACACTAACACCGAAAAGAGTCCTTTTAATTTATTATCACAATATAAACTATAATATTATATGACAGTTTAGAAAAATATTATTTAGAAATACATTGTTGTGGCTCATCTGTTATTGGGGCATTTAATTTTAAAGTTCTTATACTTCACAGGAACACTTAGTGGATAAAAACTTGATTTGTAAGGGAGAAATATGCTTAAAATGCATACACTTGGGGAGCTGGTATCTTGCATCAAGGCAGTATGGTACACTCATAGATGAGTGAGCTCCAGAAATTTGTGGAGAATCTACTACTTGGTGTAATAACTTTATCAGCTCCCCAAGACAGTGATGTAGTGATGCTAAGTTACCAAGAGCGTGAACATTCAACTTCTACCTAAAGTAAATACAATTTTATATATAAAAAATTTGTCATATACCCCCTTAAACACACACAAAAAAATCACAGCTGAAAAAAAGAAATGTATGATACCTTTGGAAAACACAGATATATTCAACAAATCAGGGTTAGGAACAAACAAACTAAAAGAACAGTCTACGTGAACTATAAAGACATCACTGATGCCAATGCATATACTTACCAGATCTTATATTAAAATATCAACTAAGTTGGGCCGGCCGAGTGGCGTGGTGGTTAAGAGCTGGCTTGGGACACCAGAGGGCCCCGGTTCAGATTCCACATATGAGGGCCAGTGACACTGCCCTCTAAAGCTAAGATGCTGAACAACAGCTCAACCTGGAGCTGGACTGCTGTGAGTCACTGGTGACGGCGTAGGCTGCAGCCCCTGTGGCAGTGGGTTGCCATGGGCTGCCGTGTGTAGCCAGCAGCAAGCGTGAGCGGCCAGCAGCCGCTGTGAGCGGCCATCCAGAAGCCGGCGACTGATCTGCCTCGCCTGGGAAGAGCACAATAATGGTGCCAACTTGGGCCAGTGAAGCAACGTCCTCCACAGTTAGACTGAAGAACAAAAAGGACAGCAACTTGTCTGTTTCCCTTCCCCCAATTCCCCAGCGCTGTTCCCATTCCCCAATTCCCCAATAAAATATCTTTAAAAAAAATCAACAAAGCATTTCAAAAGATGGGCCCAAAAAGGAGGAAGAAACAGACAAAGCGAATCAAGGAGTAACATGGCATCAATCTAAATCCACTGAAATAAGCATTTCTCTGACTTTCTTTGTTTTGGGACAATTAAAAAAACAAACCATCCTTTCCCCAACACCCACTCCCATCATTTCACACCTAAACTGCTACAATTTTAAGTCTGTCAAAACCAAGGGTTGGCAAGGATATGAAGAAATGGGAACTCTTATAATAACACACTGCTGGTGAAAGTATAAACTGGTGTATCTGCTCTGGAGAACCATCTGCTCACATCTAGTAAAGGGGACAAAGCACACATCCTGACTTCCCATACCCTAGAGAAACTCCCGCATGTGTGTACATGGACACAAGAAGACATAAAGGAAGATGTTTGTTGAAACCTGTTTAACATAGCAGAAAACTGAAAATAACCTAAATGTCCATCCATCCACAGAAGAATGAATAAATCAATCACATCGTACATGACCATACAGCAGTTAGATGAACTAGATCAACATGGATGAACTTACTCAAAAATATTAAGTGAAAAAGGTTGCAGAAACATACATACAGTATGATATATTATTTAAAATTTTTAAATACAACAATGCAGTATATGTAGTAAAGTATAAAAAGATTGGGGATGGCTGGTTGGCTCAGGTGGTTAGAGTGCAGGGTGCAGTGCTCATAGTGCCGGGGTTGCCGGTTCGATTCCCTCATGGGTCGGTGAGGTATACCCTCCACAACTAGATTGAAACAACTACTTGACTTGGAGCTGATGGGTCCTGGACAAACACACTATTCCCCAATAAAATTTTTTTTAAAAAGTATAAAAAGATTGAAGAATATACACCAAGTTCACAACAGTCATTACCTCTAGAAAGGAAGGGAAGGTGCACAAGAGGCCTTCAAACATATATGTGATTTTTTACTGTCAACAACAGAGAAAGGTTTGGAAAACAAAAAAAGCCTGAAAACTGTTTATTAGTTCTCTTTAGTGTTAATTTTACCACTTACAGGATATAATATGCTTAGGAAATTTCAGTCACTATACTTATAAGAAATTTGCATGAAAGGAAAATTCATTAAGAACTAGCCCAACACAGTGACTTAAGTCAATAAGGAGAGACAACATGCATGAGAAAGGATGGACATTGCTCCAATGAAAAATAATTACACCTATTCTCAGAATGTTTTATTTTCAGCCATTCTCTATGAAAGTCTTACCAACTGATCTCTAGATTAAAGGCTAGGTACTCAAGGGACCCATTGAATTTCCTAAGACTAAGGAAAGTTGGGGTTAGATAATATCCAATGTCATTTTGATGGGACAATAATAAAGTTTTAAATGAAAAGAAATATAGTAAACTAAATGAAATTTATTATCCCTACACCAAACCTACTTCTTTTGTGTTCTCCATTTTGCTGAATGGAATCTATCCAGTTGTTGAATCCAGAAACCCATATCAAGTCCATCATCAAATTCTACCATTCTACATCCTCAGTAGCTTGATAACCTATCCACTTCTCTCCATACCCACTAGCTATCACTATCATCTCTTACTTAAATTTTTACAACAGCCTCCTCCCTGATTTCTTTGTCCCTACCCTAGGTGTTAATCCAATCTCCATTCTGGAGCCAGAATAATATTTCTAAATTGAAAAACATATAACTTCCCTGTTGAAAACTTTTCAATGGCTCCCCTGTAAAGATTTTGTAGGGTATCCAATGGACACTTGTAGTATTAGGGAGACCACTTCATGGATGCTGTAGATGCCTGACCACTGCAGTGTACACCTGAAGCTGAAGCTGAATAATAATGTGAACTATAATTTAATATTATATAGTTACAGGATGTGGAG